GTAAGTTGTTCTGAAAATTATTTTACTTCTTTCAACATCTGTTCTTGTATTTTTCCCTGCACCCCCGGTTTTTAGCATGCGGTGGCCGCACATCGCGGCCACCGCCGACCAGCCCCGAGCCCGCAGTAAAAAAATGCGCTTGCAACGCTCGAGGAGGGAAGGGGGGTGGGGCCGGACGAGGGCGGACAACAGCACGAGGGCACTGCAGCCCGCACGAAGGCGCCAGGGGCCCGCAAACCCGTGGGCCTCCCTGCGGGTCGGGGAGGCCAGTAACCCTGGACCGGTGGCGCCAGGGCGGCGCGAGCGCGCCCTTCACGCACTGGCGCAGATGGGCCTGAACCCGACCGAGAACGTCGAGTTCTACACGCCACGGGCCGGCGAGGAGCGCCCGTGCGGCCGGTGGGCAGTGGAACGGACACGCCCCCGTCATCGGTGGAAGGCGTCGCGCCGGCGTCCTGGACACGCCGCGGGCCGCCGCAGCACCTGCCAGCCCAAAACGCTCCCCGGTCCTGGTTGTTTGTGCCCTTACTGCTGGACGCGGCCGGCCAACTCCAAGTGGCCGCGTCCGCCGCGTGGCGGAGCCATGCTGTGCTCGGCGCGCATTGGGGGAGCTGGCTCGCGCAGCTGCGCGGCGCGCCCCCTGTCGCGCTGGACCAGGCCCGCGCAGCCGTATCACTGCACCAGGCACTGGATGCGAGGCCCGTGCAATGGTGGCCCCACGAAGCGTTTGAAGGCATGCGGGGCGACGCGCCTTGCAGCCTCCCGCTACTTGTGGCGCGCTGCCAGGCCCCGGATGGCTACTTGCTGGCGCCCTTCCAGGAAGCCCTGCTGCAGCTGTACGGCGGAGCCAGCCTCGCTGCGGAGATTGCAGGAACGGCGGACGCTGCAAGTGCGGGAGCCGACCTCGCCAGCAGAAGGCCGTGCCCTGGACCAGCGGCGCTGGCGCCCCGGGACGATGCGGCGGTTGCAGCGGCGGCCCGGCTTGCCGCCCCACGCCGCCGCAGACGCCCGCGCCGCCAGAGGCGCGCAGAGGGCGAAGCCGACGCGCGGGCAGCGCCGGCAAACGCAGTCGCCCCCCCGGCCCCACCGAGCGCCGGCGAGCAGCGCGACCCTCTCCAAGCCATGCGAGAGGTCGACTTGGCGCACGAGTTGCGCAGGAGAGTCTACACGCTGCAGTCGCCTCCCGGCCCAATGCGCGGTGCCCTGAAGGCCGCGCTGACCGCCGGCCTGACCGAGGTACAGCGAGACCCGAGCTCAGCGGAAGGCTGGAAGCTCTTCCTCCTCGCCCCGCGCATGTTGCTATATCGCGGGCGTGGGGAAACGCGCGTGCCACGCGCGGAGCTAGACAAGCGGGTAGAGCTGCTCGCCGCGGGGCAGTGCCGCGGCCTACTTGACGCCGCCGCAGAGGCGGCGGCCGGCAGCGACGTGCCTGGCCCGTCACGCGCCAACGCAGCGGACGACGATGCGCAGCGGCGCGCGGAGAGAGCGGCGGCGCTCGCCCACTTGGGGGAGCTCTCTGCAGCCAGCGCCGCCCTGACAGCAATGCCGATGGCACCCGCGTCGCTGGAGACCTTGGCCGCCCTGCGTGACCCGGAGCGACGGCCGCCTACACGCCAGGTGCCGCTGCCGCCGGACTTCCGCTCCAGCCACCCGCGCGACCCCTTGGCTCTCAACTCGCAGAGGTTCCTGCGCAACGTGCGCAGTGGACGCAGGGGGGCCGCAGCTGGGCCGTCCGGATGTACAGCGGAACACCTCCGTGTGCTCGCGGACGACGAAGCCAGCGCCGACTTGCTGCTCCGAGCGGCAGAGCGGCTGGCCAACGCCGATGTGCCGGCCGACGTGCTGGCCGGCGTGCGCTTAGGGAGGATGGTGGGCCTGCGGAAGCCGGACGGCGGGGTGCGGGGACTTGTCATGAGCGACGCGTTCCGCCGGCTGGTGGCCCGCACGCTGGCCCAGCAGTATGCTGGAGCGTTCCAAGCCGCTTGCGCGCCATTCCAGTATGCCCTGCGGACCCGAGCGGGGGCTGAGTCCCTCGCACGCGCGGTGCGCGCAGCCACCGAGCTCGACGCCCGCACCACGGTCCTCAGCATAGACGGGGTCGGGGCCTACGACCACATCTCGCGCGCGAGCATGTTGAGCGGCTTGCAGCACACGCCCAACCTCACGGCGCCACTCCCCCTTCGTGGCCCAGTTTTACGCTGAGCCGAGCACCTACGTCTTCTACGACGCCGAGGGTGCCGCGCACGAGATCGCACAAGGCGAGGGAGGCGAGCAGGGGGATCCCCTAATGCCCGCCCTATACGCGCTGGGGCAGCATCCCGCACTGCTCCAAGCGCACGCGGCTTTAACCCCGGGGGAGGACTTGTACGCGTACTTGGACGATATCTATGTCACTTGCCAGCCCGAGCGTGCCGGGCCCGCCTTTACGGCCCTCGGCACAGCGCTCTGGGAGCGCGCGAACATCCGCGTCCATTTGGGCAGGGCATGGAATGCCGCGGGCGAGGAACCCAGTGCACTACTGGATGCGCTCCCCGCCGCCGCGCGCGCTGACGCTTGGGCAGGGAGTTGGGCGAGGCCACCAGCCCAGCAGGGCATCACAGTCCTGGGCACGCCGCTGGGGCATGCCGCGTACATCGCGGGAGCGCTGCGACGTGTCAGAGAGAAGCACGACGAACTCTTGGGTCGCATTCCCACGGTGCCACACCTGCAGAGCGCCTGGCTCCTCCTGCTCCTCTGCGCGCAGCCTCGGAGCAATTACTTGCTCCGCGTACTGCCGCCCGCTGACACGGGAGAGTTCGCCGAGTCCCACGACCGGGCCATTGCCCGCTGCCTGGGGCGCTTGCTCAGCGGCACGGACGAGCCCTTCGAACTTTCCCAGCTACAGGCCAGGCGTGCGCAGCTGCCACTCCGGTATGGCGGCCTTGGCCTCCGATCTGCTGCGGCGTCCCGGGCCGCGGCCTATTGGGCCTCCTGGGCGGACGCCATGCCGGTGATAGGCGAGCGGCACCCGCGCGTGCTCGCGCGGATGCTGATGGGCTTGGCCGATCCGCGGGGCGCCTCCGCCGCGCCTTCGACGCGGGCGGCGGCCCAGGCTGAGGCTGCTCTGCGCCTAGCGGGATTCCACGCGCCGCCGTGGACGGCCCTCGCGGACGGGCTCGCCACCGGTGAGGCGAGCCATTTCGGCGACGCGGCACGGGGATGGCAACAAGCAGCTTGTGCCAGCCTGGATCAGCGGGCCCTTGAGACGCTCCTTTCTGACCTTGACGGAGCGTCTCGGGCTTTGCTGCTCTCCCAGGCTGGGCCAGGCGGCAGCCTCGCTCTCACGGCGCTGCCAACACGCGAGGAGTTCACGCTGCAGGATGACACCTTCCGCTGCGTGCTCCTGCGGCGCCTGCGCCTCCCACTGCCACTTCAAGCCCGAGCCTGCCGCTGCGGCGGCGCCCTCGACGAGCTCGGAGACCACAGGGCCGCCTGCCCCACAGCCGGTGTGCTGGTCCGCCGCGCTTGCCCCCTGGAGCGCGCTGCGGCGCGCATCTGCCGGGAGGCGGGAGCTCGGGTCGCGACCAACGTCTTCCTCCGCGACTTGAACCTCGGGCTGCCATTGACCGACGGGCGCCGGCTCGAGGTCGTCGCGCATGGACTCCCGGCCTTTGGAGGCGTGCAGGTAGCGGTTGATGTGACGCTCGTCAGCCCGCTGCGGCGAGACGGGAGCAGCCGATCTCGCGCCGACCACGAGCCCGGCCTCGCCTTGCGAACCGCTGCCGAGCGCAAGCATCGGGTAACCTACCCGGAGTTTCAGCGAGCCCGGCGGTGTCGCCTGACGGTGCTGGCCCTCGAAGTTGGAGGGAGATGGGGCGAGGAGACTGAGGCCTTCCTCCACCGCATCGCGCAGGGCCGAGCTCTCGCCAGCCCCGCGGCGCAGCGCACGGCGGTCGCAGCCGCGTACAGGCGCCGGTGGGGGCAGATGCTCGCAGTCGCAGCGCAGGGAGCGTTCGCTGCGAGCCTCTGCCAACTCCCCACCGACGTTGGCGACGCGTACGCCAGCGCGCCGCTGGAGGGCGATGTCCTGTCCGACGCCCGTTGGGCGCCGGGCGCGTAGGGACCGGTCGCGTGTTTCACCCTGTTTCACCGCGGCTTGACGGAAAAAGGTCCGAGAAAAAAAAAAAAAAAGACCCGTGTCTGGAACGCCGCTGGTATCGCCCCTGCCGGAATCCAGCACCTCCCCCACTCTGCGGAGGTTTGGGTTGGGAGCCACGCCCTCCCTAGTGACCAACGCGGCATCCGTGTCCTTGGCACTCCGCTTGGGGGTAGCAAGTTCATCGCTGCCAGCCTGGCCGCCCTCAGCGCTGACCACGCAGCCCTTCTCGACCAGCTCCCCGGCCTGCCGGATCTCCAGGCAGCTTGGTTGTTGCTCCTTTTCTGCGCCTCTGCCTGCCCCCTGAGCAAACGCGGGCCTTTGCGGCTGAGCACGACCGTTCCCTCCTCCACTGCTTGGCGAACCTCCTGCGGTCTCCGAAGCGCCGTGCAGCACGCCCCAACCGCGTTTTGGGCATCTTGGGCGGATAGTTTGCCTTCCCTCGCACTTTCCTGCCTCAGCTCGTGCGAAACCCGGAGGGCGCAGGCAGCGTCGCGTATTGGGCTCTTTTTCCTTCTAGAGCACACAAGGCACTACAGGTACTACAGGGGCTTGAGCCATGTACAAGAACATACACAAGCCTCTGCCAGTTGACATCTCACATGACGATCTTTACATCTTTACTTTACATGTCATTGGATTCATGGAAAATTCGCCACCCCCCTTAAAGGCATGTGAACTGCCCTTTGTACAAGCAAATTCAACTATTTACCCTCCGTCCGGGGGCGGAGCTTCCCGCTCGAACAACGAGGTTGCCCTCATGTCTCGGGCTTGCCGGCGGGGGCGACCGCACGCCTTGACCTTTGGTTTGGCCTTTGCTTTCTCCCAACTTTGTGCTTTTGCACAAGGCGGATGGTCCCGCTGCCTGGGCGGTCATTCCCGCGCCAGCGCCCTCAAGCTTGGCAGGGAAGCCTGGCTTCCAAGGCTGCCGCTTTACCGCGGACACCTTGACGTTGATGCGCTGGAATTGGGTGATGTCAAGGCTCTCCAGCATTCCTAGCGAGGGCAGAGCTTCCCGCACCTCTGTGCCGGTCTTGGCATGCTTCGTTAAGAAGTTGGCTGGGTTCCAAGTGCCCTTGACCTTTCCAACGCTAAGCTTTCCAGCTTGGATCGCTCCTTGCACATAGAACTCGCACACCTCCAGGTGGCGAAGCTTGGATCCTGGCCCGATCCTCCTGGCTGCCGCCTGAGCTGAGCTCGAATCGGTCCAGAGCTTAGGCTTCTTGACCTTCAGCCCGAAGTCGATCGTGGCCAGCTCCTTTATGAAGAGAGCTTCTCGCGCCCCCCTGCTCACGCCACGCAGCTCAGCATCAGGCGAGCTAGTTGCTGGGAGTCCCGGCTGCGTCTGTGACCCGCAAGCCACTACAGCTCCTCCAAGCACGGCGATGTAGCAGTCGGTGGAGCGTCTCGTCTCGAGACATCCGGCCCAGTCCGAGTCCGTGAACAGGTCCAGGGTCAGCTCGTTCTGGGCGGTGGCTCCCGCTTCCAGAGCTACCACTGTGTACATCTCTGGATGGCGGTTTATATAGGTAGGCTGCTAGTATCTTGGCAGCTTTCAAATCGCACTCCCTGGGATTGGACATCCTTCTGGCCAACTCTTTCGTGGCAAACTGGATATCTCTTCGGTCCGCAGAAAGGTAAAAATGGCACTGCCAACTGCGCTGCGATAGGCTCGCGCATCCTCCTCTGAAAGTGGCATCACTTCCAGGAGGTTAAGTTGGCGGCTTGGCACCTCGGACCTTTCCTTGGTGACCCCGAGCGCATTCTTGATGTTCTCGACATGCACCTTATCTGCTTGTGTGAGGATGGCGTCCTCCAGACGGATCTTGGTTCGGTTCAGCACTTCCACAACAGTGCCGACCCGCTCAAGTTCCCCACTCTGAACTTCGCAGTGCTTCGGCAACTCCACATCGTAGAGGTAGTCCAAGGCGTCATCTGGGCCTGTACCTCTGAAGTCGTCGATGTGGTGCACGATCACGACTCCACTCTTCGTGCAGCGGTAGACCGTCGGGTCTTTCTCGCCCCGCACGAAGTGGTAGCGCTTCTTGTCCAGCTTGTTGAGCAAGATGTCCTCAAGCTCGTTCCTGAACACGGAACCTGCTGGTCGGCGTCCGTACAGGTTTCCGTCTAGGCGGAACAGCAGGTCCTTGAAGCGGTGGCGGTACTTGGCTTGATCCGCCGGCGCTAGGCCCGCGAGCCATTTCTCGAATAGCTCTTGCCACTCCACTGGTGCTCGGACATAGACGGGATTGCCTTCGGCGGCTCCCCTGTCCGCGCCGATCAGGAACGCGGCTACAATGTCCAAAGACCTCGTGTGGTATCCGTGCGCCAGGGCATACACCTCAAGGAGCGCATGACTCTCAGGCGTTGGAGTGGGGACGAACACGTTCATCTCCTCCTCCTGGTTTTTGGTGTAGCGCGCTTTCACATCTGCGCACGTGAAGCGACTTTTGTACACCCCTCGGCTGCTTTTGTCAACCCACTTGTGGTGGAAGATCTGGGAACCTTTGGGGATCTCTTCTCGAAGGACGGGCGTGAATGCCTTCTTATCCCACAACTTCTTGAGCTGCGCTTTGCGCGCTATGTGGACCTGCTCAGGGTTGAGGAGCTGATCCACATAGTCAGCTACGTTGCTGATGCGCTGCATCGCAAAAGGGTTCGACGCTTCGTCAGACTCGCCCCATTTCTGGATGGCTTCCCAGATCTCCAGGGCGGTAATGCCCGCAACCTTGGGTGTCTTTGCTGAGCTGCTTGGCTGAGCTGGCGGTGCTTCCCGCTTCAGGCCGCCATCTCCAAGTCCAGTTGGGCTCATTGGTGTGTCGGGTAGCGAAGCAAGAGGTGAATGCCACGCCGCCCCCCTGAAGGGATCAGAGGGCGCTGCTCCGGCGGTGTCTCCCGCTACGGGCGGCTCGCCTTCTGGCGCGCTCGGGCTGCAGTCCGACATTTCCTCGATGACCGCCGCTGCCTCCACGGCTGCTGCGTCTAGGTCGATGTCAGCTCCATCGTCCGCGATGCGCGGTGGATCTCCTCCGCCTTCTCCTTGCTCTCCATGGAGGGCTGCGTGGGCAGGCGCTGGCATGACCACGACACTTGACGTCTCACGTGGGGCGACTCGGTTGCCATCTCGTGGCTTCCACGGTAGCCCACGCACGCAGGCCATCAGATCGTTGTTGATCTGTTCCGCACTGGGCAAGCGGCGGACGGACCGCACAGCGATTGCCCCGGCGGTAGTGCCGACGACATGGCTGTCGTCCTTCTCCAACTTGCCCAACCATATCCCTTTGAGCCACTTCCTGGCAAGTTTGCTTTCGGCCAGGGGAACTTTCGCCATAACGACCTCGCCAAAATGGCAAATGGGCTTGGCGTAGTCGTGACCGTTCACCAACTTGAATGGAGTGCACCGGTCTTGCCCTCGCACGTGGTATCGGCTTATTAGCCACGCTGCATGCTTGACCAACCATGGCATGACGTTGTGAGTTGGTTCCAGCTCAGGATACCGCTCCTGCACGTCTGCCCACAAGGTTCGGATCTGGCCTGCCACAAAGCCATTCGCCGATTCGACAGAACCCTGCGACTGGTGCGACCTGACAGGCGCAGCCCTTATCTTTAGCTTTGCTGCTCCAACATGGCGCTGCCAAGCTTTGGCTACGGCTCCTATGGTGTTTTCAGCGTCATGCTGCACCACGGCCTTGTCGTGCCCGAGGTTGTTCAACCACAGCGTCAAGTTGTTGAGCACATACTGGCCGTGCTCCAGGCCCTTCCTGGGAATCTGGAGGGCAAAAGGCCATCCAGAGTCCACATCTATAGCGACCAGCATGGTGAAGAGACTTGACTCTTCCTCCACCACGGCGGCGTTCCTTCCAAGGAACAGGTAGTCAATTTGGATCACCGGTGTCTTCTCCACGCCGATGTCCCCATTGGCTCTTCGCCTGTGGGGGTCTTCCTTGCTTTTACCTGCCACGCACAGTTCGCACCAAGGCTGAAATGGAAGGTGTGTCATACTGTGTGTTGCCCTTTCGGCTGCAGTGGGCGCTGGAGGCGCTTCTGCTGCGAGAGGCCCTGGCGCTTCAGGCACCAGCGCTTCCTCTTCCAAGTCGCCATCAGCGGCTTCCTCCTCCTCAGCTGGGTGCTCTGCTTCTGCTGCAGGCAGTTCATCGTCATCACTGCTGTGCTCTGCCGCAGCATAAGCCTCAACAGCCTCTTGCTCTGGGTCCACCACTGGCGCGATGCGGACATGCGCTCTACTGGCCCAATCCTTCTCACGGTAAGGCAGCACAAATTGCCTTCCCTTCCGCTCGAAGGTTGCCTTTGACCCATCCGGCCATTGGATGTAGCAATCCTGCGGCGAAAACAGGATGCTTGCTCCGTCATCGATGGCTCGGTTGATCGAAAGGATGTTGTCGGTAATTCCCTCGACCACTTGGAAAGCTATTTGCGTTTCCTGGCGGCTTTGCCCGCTCCCAATGGTGAGATGTGGGCGGACCTCCCCGCACGCGTGTAGCGGACTGTCGTCGACCGAGTACAGAGACTCGACCACGGTCGGGTCGACTGCCGCCTTGAATGCGTCGGGACGGCATACGGAAGTACACGCTCCGGTGTCCACCAGGAGATCACCTACCCGGGCGACCGTGGACGCACCAGGGTTCTGCTCAAACAACATGATGGCCCGAACTCCAGTGCCAGAGAATGGTTCATGGGGGTTGGTCAAGTTCTTCCACTTGACCCTGTGTTCGATGCAGTCCCACTGCTGGCGCATATCATGCAGTTGCCAAGTGGTTCTCAAACCATAGACCTTGTGTTGTGGTCCAGGCGTGACTTTCTTTCTGATGCGCTGGCTTTTGCCACAAACCACATAAACCTTCTGGCTCGGCAAGCCATGCCAACCCGGCTGGTTGTGGAACGCGAGGATCTCGCCCGGGATCTTGGTGTCCCCCTTTCCCTCAGACACTCGCAGCATGCGAATGGAAGAGGTTCCCTCGCTCACAGTTCGCACCGCTCCACGCACGCTGGACGCGGCACTGGGCGCCGGAGCTATCTGGGACGCGGAGGGGCCCGCAGTCACCTGGGAAGCGGTCTCATCGTTGACATTGGACACGGTCCTCCCCTTCGCGTCTCCTTTGCCTTTCCCCTTGGTGTTGAACCAACATTTGTCTGTGGTGTGGCTGTTCTTCAGCAGATGGCACAGTTAGGCTTCTCATGTTCTTTCTTGTCACCCCCTTTCGGAGTGTCATTCTTCCCTTTGCCCTTGTCGGTCTTGCCACCTTTACCTTTGCCTTTCTTGCCTTTGTCTGAACCTTTCCCATCGCCCACCTTGCCAATGTCCATGGCGTCTTTCCGGGCCGGGCGGTGTTTCCCGCGTACGTGGCTGATGGGCTCCATACTCGCTTGGCTTGCAAGTAACCAACCACTGCGTCGCGGACAGCTTCGTAGCTATTCAGCACTGCGGCGTGCATCGCCAGGTGTTGCCTGAGAGCTGCGGGTGCCTCGGTGATGACCACGGCCCGCTTGTCTTCATCGGCTATGGCCTTACTTGGTCCGTACTCGGACTCATACCGGTCCAAGTCTGCCTCCCACTCTTGGAGGGCTGCGCTGAACTCAGCTTCTTTTGCAGGAAACTTGGGACTCAAAAGAGTTCTTCTCCAAATCAGCGCTTTGGAGTGGTTCTCAGGAGCAAATTCGCGAAACAGGAGGCGCCAAAGTTCGAATCCGTTCTGCTGTCGAATCCCTCGTGACAGCTTGGCTGCTGCCGGGCAATCTTGCACCCAACTCGCTAACATAGCAAACAGCTTGCGCGAGCGGTCTAGTGTGTCCTCGGACATCTCGTCCGGATCCAGAAAGTCTGTCGCTTTGCGACTCATTTCCAAAACCTCTGGCATGCTACCATCCATGAAGGCTAGATACGTTTCCGTTTGGAACACAAACTTTTCCCACCCGTCGCGATCCTTCAGATTTTGCGGCGTGCGGACAGCCTTCATCACATCCATGTGATGCATGATCCCGCTCGGTCTGTTACCGGCGGCAGCGGTCGCGCTTGGACCGTTTGGTCTTTGCGCGGCCTGACCCTGGGCTAGCATCAGCTGAGCGACGGCGTTGGTGAGCTCTGTGGTCTTGGCCTGCGACGCCTCCAAGGCGGCTCGGAGGGCTTGTCGCTCTGCTTCGCTTTGGCGAAGGGCCTGTTCCTGCATCTGAGCGGCGAACTGGCTGGCATCGGCCATGGCTCAATGCCCCTTGAATGTCGGCAGCCAGGCGGATTGCCCGCTCCAACCCCTCCTCCAGCTCCAACGAGCTCGAGGCGGCACTGCCCGCTCTCAGCCTTGCGACTGGAGGTGGGGCCTGCACCTGGCTCGCAATGAGCGCTTGCTTGCACTTGTGCTTGAAGTCCTCGACCGGCTCAGGCTCCAGGCGGAGACTCCCGCACTGGGCTGAAACCTCTGGCCCTGGCCTTGGGCTTTTCCTCCCGCTCCCTGTCCTGCTCCTGAGGAGGCGGGTCTGCCCGCCCTGCCTCGAGAAGCGGAGGGGCCCACGCAGCGACCGCACGAGCTTTGTGATGCTCGTGCCGCCCGAGAAGACGACCTTTTGTCTCCTCTGTGGCCTCCAGAGCTGGCTTGCCAGCCCCTAGAGGCGCCCACTGAGGCCGCTCGATAAGCTTGACCCTTGGGCCAGCCTCAACGATCCCAGCTACTGCAGGCTCCTCTTGCGGAAGCGGACCTGCTGGCTCTGGAGATGCCGGGGAGTCTTCCTCTGACTTCTCCTCCTTGGCAGCGTCTGCTGCCTCCTTGCGCTCCTCGGCCGGCGGGCTCGGGGGCGCTGGCAGCTCAGCTGGCTGAGCTGCGGGGCTTGGCCTCTGACCCTGCCAAGCCTCTCCCTCGCGCTGCGCTGTAGCTTTGCGCCGCGCGATGCCTCGGGCGATCCTCTCGGCCTGAGCCGCTTCAGATCGTGCACCTCGGTGGTTTCGAGGTCGCTGGCTCCAGTCTTGCCAGCCTTTCCAGCCCCGGCTGGACCAGCTTTGAGATTGCCAAGCTGGTTCGGACCAGGCCTGGCTCTCCCACCAAGGGCCTTGCTCGGCTTGAGCTTGGCCTTGACGATCTCCGGGCGGAGATCCACTCCAGTCCCACCAGGACGACCCCGGACGGGACGTGGCGGCGAGTGCCCTCGCACAGCCTTGGCTGCGCGGTGCTACCCGCGGCAGGCCGAGTAGTCCTCACGACCTTGGTCGCGGGGCTACCCGCAGAACCAGGAACTCAGTTGAGTTCCTGCGGAGGGCCCTGACCGTTGAGCTTGGTCAGAGCTCCGCTACCATGCGAAACCCGGAGGGCGCAGGCAGCGTCGCGTATTGGGCTCTTTTTCCTTCTAGAGTACACAAGGCACTACAGGTACTACAGGGGCTTGAGCCATGTACAAGAACATACACAAGCCTCTGCCAGTTGACATCTCACATGACGATCTTTACATCTTTACTTTACATGTCATGGGATTCATGGAAAATTCGCCAGCTCGAGTCCCCTCAGCCCGACCCCGCTTCCGCTTCAGCGCGCGCTCTCTGCGATGCTTTGACGAGGACTCCTCGGAAGACCGGACCAGGGGTGGCAACGTGCCGCCTCCCGCGCTGTCGATGACAGCTTCGCCCTTGGGCTCGCGCGCCTCGCGCCTGCCGCGTGTGCCAAGCTTTTGTTCCAGTCTGGCCCCTCGTGTCTTCCTTGCTGTCCCTACTTCCCCGGAGTTGTCGCTTGAGCCCCCGCTCTTTCGCGCGCTCCTCCTCCGGCGCCTGTGGCTCCCCTTGCCTTTCTGAACTGGCAATTGTTCATGTTTTTAAAGTTTTTTTTTGCATTTTGCATTTTTCCAGTTTTTCGCGGGCATTTGTTGCTCGATTTATGTCGCTGAGGTTGACTTTAGAGAAGTTAATTGTTTGGGTTTCAAGTTGTTTTTCGGTGGGAAGGGGGGGGGGCAGGACGGGACAATAATAATGCGCCTGTGTGCCCATTGTTGCGAAAGGCTTGATTCCTGCAGCATCGTTTTTCGCTGGCTGCTCGCCTTCGGAGAGTCGGAACGGAATTATCTTTTTTCATCTCGTTTGTTGTTTGAGGGCTCGGTGGCTTGCCCCGCCCCACCCCCCCTCCTCCCAAGCCCATCAATGATTGACGTTGTTGCGTTTGCTTGCGCGGGTTCGGTGGCTTGCCCCGCCCGGCCCCCTTAAACAAATCCTTTCGCTGGTTTTGGCGGCATGCCCCATCCAGCAATAGGGTGCCCAGCTCCCCCTTCCTCCAAAGTGAAGCCCGCCAACGATTGAAGTTGTTGCATGTGCTTGTGCTTGCGGGTTCGGTGGCTTGCCCCGCCCGGCCCCTACGCCTTCTGCAAGCAAGAGGGAAGGCGTCTCAGGGCAAAAGAGTCTCACAGGAAAGCTGTGAGCTGACGAACGGACATGCGTGATGCGACGCAAGAGCCGCCCAAGTCGTATGTTTCTTGCGGATCATTTTTTTCAAGCGGATAGATGTGTTTTTGCAGAGCAGATGTGCTTGTTGCGGTGTGCGCTTGCGGGTTCGGTGGCTTGCCCCGCCCGGATCATTTTTTTCAAGCGGATAGATGTGTTTTTGCAGAGCAGATATGCTTGTTGCGGTGTGCGCTTGCGGGTTCGGTGGCTTGCCCCGCCCGGCGCCCACAATGACTTACGCTGGTTTCGGTGGCATGCCCCATCCAGCAGTAAGGATTCAGAAGGGGCGCTTCTGAAACCGCCCTTTTCCGGAAGCGTTCTCAGAAAGGCTTTCGTGTGTAAGGGCGGCTCGAAAAACAAGACTTTCGTGGGAAGTCTGCCTGCAAGCTGCGGGCGCGCGCATTGTTACTACCAGACTTTTAGTGGGGCCTGGCCCCACGCCAAATCTGGACTAGTGACCTTAAAGTTTTCCTGATTGTGCGGCTACACAGGCTCAATGGCGACAGCTCAGAAGGCAGTTGTTTTCTATTGCTTCCAAGGTTTGGTCACTGCGGCCCGCTTGCAAAACCATCCGTGCTTGGCAAGTCAAGACGCGCTGTGTTCGCTTGGCGGCTCTTAGACAAGTTAGCAGGCGCGGCCGTGTTTTGGTGGCTTGCCCCATCACTGGCGTGAAAGCTGCAGCCATGTCGATTGCGCTCGTTGCTGGCGTCATCGTAGGTTTCTTCATGGGCGTGGTTGTGCCAATTGGCGGGAAGGGCCTCAAAGGCGGCAGCGCGGCGGGCAAGGGTCAGACTGACGAGCAAGGCAGCCGCAGCAGCGACGGCGTTGGCGGCTTACCTCAGCCTGGAAAATAGTCTTCACATGAATGTCGTGCGGCAGTACCTCTTCGGCCGCTTGTGGGCACACATGCAGAGCCCAAGCAGTCAGTATTACGCTGCAGAGCTGCGCGACGCTCTGCAGGCCAGTGCTTTGTTTTATGCACAGACGCAGTGTTTATTCTGCTGCTTTAATATTTCAAACCAGTCTGAAACCAAGTGGTCTCGCCGTGCCTGCCAACCACGACGCAGGCGGACAGCGGTGACAGCAACTTGACGAGGGGCAAGGCCGGAGGAAAAGCGCCGCCGGTGAGCAAAGCCAGGCTGGGCAGCTTGGCCCAGTGCCTCCTCCTGCCAAGAACGGGGGGGCAGGGCGGCCGAACAGTGGCTCGGCGCTGGTCGACCTGGTGGAGAACATGCTGAAAGCTGCGCCGCCTGCTCCAGGCGCCGGACCAGCCCCCAAGCAGGGCAGACGAGTCAAGGCTAAGGCTGCCGCGCCGCCGGCCACTGAAGACCCAGCCGAGGAAGAGGAGGACGACCCCACGGACAGGGAGCCCAACTGAGCCGCAACGCTGGGCTTTTGCGCGCTCTGCCGCGTAAGTTTGTGAGTTTGGTAACCATGATGTGGCTCAGGCGGCGTGCCCCGGCCCGCGTTGGTGGCTTGCCCCAGCACATTGGATTTGTGTCGGCGGCGTGCCCCCGCTGCTGCTGCAGAGAGATGTCAAACGCAGATCGAACGGTGCTTAAAACATGCGGCCAGCCAAGGACATTGAATCAGGACGTCCGGCGTCATGAAGTGCTGAGGATCAAGGGTTGCCGAGAGACAGTCCGGTCACGTCCATCCAGTTTCCCACATGACACGTACGCTCGCCCGATCAGCTTGGTCCGCGGAAAAAAACTTAAGTTTTTTTCCACAGACCCCATTTGTCCAGAGGGTCTCCGGTTTCCATAAGTTGTCTCCACAAACCACAGCGCTGCGGACCGTCGAGTGGACTACAATTCTTGGATTTCGGGGAACGCAAAATTCCCGGTGTTCGAACGTTTCTAGTTCTTTGGACAGTCCACAGCGCTGCGGCTTGTTGAGTCGACCTTCGGATTCCAGAGGCCCTCTGGACAGGAACTTCGTGCGTAAACTTAAGTTTTTTTCCGCAAGCGCCCTCTGGACAGAGCTCTGGCCCAAGCTGCCCGGAATGTCCGCGCAGAGCGCATGGGCCCGCTTTGGCAGGCGGTGGACCGAGCAGTTCCCGTGGCTGGAGGCTGTGCAGTGGGACACAGGCGACTTCTCCGTCAGCTGTGCTGCCTGCAAAGCTGCTGGGCATGTGTCAGCGGAGTTTCGAACCATTGCTTCATTGCAGGTCAGCCACTTCCGAGACCATGAGAAAACCAAAAGGCACCAGGCCGCAGCATCAAATGAAGACATCCGACTGCGTCTGATGGCCCCATCTCTCGAAGAGTTCATCGCAGTTCTGCGAGCTACACGCAAGGGAAAAGATGGCGGTGATGATGGGATTGCCTGGTCCGGCGGCAAGATCCTTCGCCGCCGAGCCCAGAAGCTCAAGTTTTGCTTGGCCGAGTCGCTGCGGGCTCGCACGCGACAAACGCTCAACGCTGCCTCCTGCGTCGCTGTGCGCTCGGACTGCTCAAAGACGATCCTTGTCTTGCGAGGGCAAACGTGCGCAGAGGATTTGCGTCCTCAGCACATGCTTCTGGGCGCACGGAAGCTTCATGACTTCTCTAATCGGAGTTGCCACGGCTGTTGTGCATTTGCTTCATGATTTGGCCACCCCTTTTGCTGGTGCAGAAGAATTCAAGGACTGCCTGAAGCCAACTGTGCCAGCTCAGGTGGCTTGTCCCAGCTGTGGACGCAGTTGCGTTTCAGCAGTGGCTTGGGCGGGTTGAGGTGTTCAACGCCGACGCAGCAGCCGACGAGCAGCTGGCGGGACAGCTCTTGTCGTCGGAGCACGAAGCTTTTGCTCAGCTATACTGCGATTTGGCAGACATGGACACGGGCACGCTGCAAGTCTTTCCGAACCTGAAGCTTGTAAACAAAGACAAGCCCCACGCAGCCCGCAGGACCCTTTTTTTGTTTGTGGCCACGGCCTAGCTCCACCAAGGTTTGAAAAAGGCTGGCCAGTTGCTGCGTGTCCAGAGCTTCCCTTCCAACGGGTGGAGCTTTTTTCTTTTTTGATAGGCAGGCGTCTAAATGCGTTTGACCACAGAACTTTACAGTCTGACAGTGGCTTCTTAAGGGCCGACATTGCTCAAGATCCACTTCCTCACGGCGAGCTGTGTGGCACTTGTTCTTCACGTCCTTCTTGGCTCTGCACTTCTTGTAGGAGCAAAGCTGCTTCACTGCGCTGCCTTTTTTGCGAGCAGGCCCCCGTGCCATTGGTAGACTTTCTCACGCTATTTCCCTTCTACGGGCAGCTCAACATGTCAGAGCCGAAATTTCAAAAAACCAAACAAGACTTGCAGGCAGACTTCCCACGAAAGTCTTGTTTTTCGAGTCGCCCTTACACACGAAAGCCTTTCTGAGAACGCTTCCGGAAAAGGGCGGTTTCAGAAGCGCCCCTTCTGAATCCTTACTGCTGGATGGGGCATGCCACCGAAACCAGCGTAAGTCATTGTGGGCGCCGGGCGGGGCAAGCCACCGAACCCGCAAGCGCACACCGCAACAAGCATATCTGCTCTGCAAAAACACATCTATCCGCTTGAAAAAAATGATCCGGGCGGGGCAAGCCACCGAACCCGCAAGCGCACACCGCAACAAGCACATCTGCTCTGCAAAAACACATCTATCCGCTTGAAAAAAATGATCCGCAAGAAACATACGACTTGGGCGGCTCTTGCGTCGCATCACGCATGTCCGTTCGTCAGCTCACAGCTTTCCTGTGAGACTCTTTTGCCCTGAGACGCCTTCCCTCTTGCTTGCAGAAGGCGTAGGGGCCGGGCGGGGCAAGCCACCGAACCCGCAAGCACAAGCACATGCAACAACTTCAATCGTTGGCGGGCTTCACTTTGGAGGAAGGGGGAGCTGGGCACCCTATTGCTGGATGGGGCATGCCGCCAAAACCAGCGAAAGGATTTGTTTAAGGGGGCCGGGCGGGGCAAGCCACCGAACCCGCGCAAGCAAACGCAACAACGTCAATCATTGATGGGCTTGGGAGGAGGGGGGGTGGGGCGGGGCAAGCCACCGAGCCCTCAAACAACAAACGAGATGAAAAAAAACAATTCCGTTCCGACTCTCCGAAGGCGAGCAGCCAGCGAAAAACGATGCTGCAGGAATCAAGCCTTTCGCAACAATGGGCACACAGGCGCATTATTATTGTCCCGTCCTGCCCCCCCCCTTCCCACCGAAAAACAACTTGAAACCCAAACAATTAACTTCTCTAAAGTCAACCTCAGCGACATAAATCGAGCAACAAATGCCCGCGAAAAACTGGAAAAATGCAAAATGCAAAAAAAAACTTTAAAAAACATGAACAATTGCCAGTTCAGCTTTTGGGTCTGCCGCGTGTTCGTGCGGGAGAGCTCTAGACGAGCTCGGTGACCATCGCTCTGCTTGCCCCCGGTCTGGCGCCCTGCGGTCGCGGGCCGGGCCACCGCCCGAGTCTGTCGTGAGGCCGGCGCCACGGTGACCACCCACGCTCCTTCGAGACATGAACGTGCGTGTCGACAGCCTTGATGACAGGCGCATCAAGGTTATCGCCAATGGCCTTCCTCTCTGGGGTGGCGTGCAGCTTGCGGTTGACACGACCCTGGTCTCGGCCCTGGACTCAGCCGGCCACGCGCGGTTTACCAACGCCGCGCCGAGGGAGCCGCGCTCCGTCTTCGCGAGCCAAGGAGAGGACTTACCGTGAGATCCTTTCGTCTCATCGCTGCCGCCTTGTCGTTGTCGGACTTGAAGTTGGTGGCCGCTGGAGCGCTGAGGCCGCACAGTTTGTGAGCTCGCGTGCCCGGGCCCGCGCCCGCTCTTGCAAGCCTCATGTGCCGCAGCATACCGCGCCCGGTGGTCGGCCCTCATTTCTTTTGCCGCCGCGCGGGCGGATGCCGCCAGCCTTCTTGCCTGGCGCGCACAATCTTCACGGGCCCGTGCCAGATGTCAGCGACATCCTTGCTGACTTCCGGTACTCCGAAGCGCCCGAGTGCAGTCGGCTGCCTGTGCCCGGACGCTGACCGGTTCAGCAACAGCGCTGCATGTGGGGAGGCTGGCCTCCGCAGCAACAGCCTAAGTCCTCCAGTTCCCGGGGGCACCCATTAAAGAGGGGTTTCTGCGGGGTGAGCCAGTGGACGGGCAGACGGAAAAATGTGTGAGAAAAAACACGAGAAAAAACACATTTTCCCAGCCAAACAAATACGGAAGTTACATACATATTTTTTAGAAACATTGTATTCTTGAGTAGTTTCAAGTAACATCCCGAACTAGTTATTAGTACATATACTAATTAAGGTGGCCACCTTGCGGGCGCCGCCAAAAGCCGGCGGGCCATTCGCGATGACCTCAATCATCTGGCGCCCATGATATCGCTGAACACAAGACATCAGTCGCGACACGCCGCCTTGCGGCAAACGCGAACCGCAGCAGGCTCGAGGGGGAAAAAGCACTCCCGCTGTGGGGCAGCCGGCAACCTCAGCTTCCGAAGGAGGAGCGTGCGAAAGACGGCAACGCTGCCGCCTGGCCCAGCCTGCGACAACATCAAGGCCCGAGACGCTGGATCAAGGTCACGGAATAGCGTCTCAAAGGCCCTGTGGCCACAAAGCCGGCGTCCTGCAGAGCGGCGGCAGCGCACGCCGCCACAACGGCCGGCCACGCATGGCCTGCGGCGGGCTCGGTCAACTCCTGCAATAGGGAAGCTAAGAGCAGGGGATGTCGCTCGCCTATCACGGGGAGTGAGTCGGTCCAGGATCCCCAGTGTGCGGCATGGGCGGTCGTAGCTGCTGGTCTCAAACCTAAGCCGTCAAAGCGAAGAGGCAATTGAGCTTTCCGGGCGCTGGGGTCGGGGAGGGGAGCTGGCGCGTCCGAGTGGTCGAGCAGTGTTCGAGCGCGGCAAAGGCCGGGCCAACCCGGGCGGCCGAGAAAGGCACACAAATTTTCGCCCGGCTCCAGAGCGCTTTGTGCTTGCAGCAAGGCGCCGTGCTGCCCCAGGGCAAAAAGGGCTGGCATCAGCGGATCGCCCAGCTCCTCGCCTTCAGCTTTCACTACCTCATGCGGCTGCCCCTCGGCATCGTAAAACGAATAAGTGCTCGGGGCGCCTTAAGACTGTCCGACGTGGGCTCAGAACGGTCTGGCGGGGATGCCCCTGCGTGACAGCTCGCGGTGCCCTAGCGAGCGCCTCAGCGCTCGCCAGCGCCGAGAGTGCGTACTGGAACGGTGCGCAGTTGGCGTTAAACGCGCAGGCGAATCGCTGTGCCAGCGTTCGTGCAACTAGGCGGCGCAGGACATCCCCAATGACCAAACCTCGCACACCGCCGTCTGGCTTGCCCTGCCAGCACACGCATGGCGCGGTACTCCAATCCTTCAACCACAAGCTTGTGCGCAGCACTGCAAGACCAAGCGCCAACAGCGCACCGTATGGCAGCTTTGCGCTTCGGCAAGCCCCCCTACGTTTTTCACTGGAAAACTCAAAAGAGCGGCAGCGGGCGCCCGCAAAACACAGCTCGTACGTTAAAAAACCGTTGAAAGTACTGCGTTTGCGGCCGCACCATCACGCTGCGTGAAGCAGTGGGTGGCTGCAGCGCGGCGAAAGTCCGGAGTCAGGATCATTGTTTTGTTTCTCCGGCGACCAACAGTTTCGCGGGAGTTGCATGGAACTGGCGCCTGGCAATTCAGTCGGGTCTGGCAGCTGAAGGCGCTGGCCCAGGCTGGCTTATTTTGTTAAAGAGCATTGCGGTGCCACATATTAACCCGAATTGAGCAGCGCCATAAACCCTGACAATACAAAGTAGTAAAGGGGGATGTCGTATAGAATCCCTGCGAAAGCCAAAACGCAGGCCGCGAAAGCTTGCGAAAGCTTATCGCGAAAGTAACCAAAGAAGGTCCCGCTGCGAAAGACCCGCGAAAGCCTGCATGCTGTGTGACAGTCCGCCGCGAAAGCGTCGCGAAAGCAATTCTAGAGAACACAAAGCCCGCGAAAGCAAAACATGGGGTCGCGAAAGCATCGCGAAAGGGTCCACGAAAGCAAGTTCATAGGACCGCTTTTTACACAAGAGTATTTGGCACGGCTCAATTGGTATGAAAAACGGGCAGACGAACCGAAACTTCATGGCCAAAGGGTTGAAAAATTGTTCTTGTCGCATGTCGGAGGGAGCTTGGGCAAGCAAACCTATCAAAAGCGACCCTGGGGATGGCAGTTGCCAGTCTGCAGCTAACAGCTGCCAGACTGGAGCTGGCAGTTGCCAGTTTCGAACTGGCAGCTGCCAGTCTGCAGCTGGCAGTTGCCAGTCTGGAGCTGGAGCTGGCAGCTGCTGGCAGCTGCTGGTCTGGAGCTGGCAGCTGCCACAGTTGCCGGCAGCCTGTAGTCCGAGCTGGCAGCTACCCGGCTGCCAGCCGGTCTGAAAAAGCGCCAGTCTGAACGCGCAGAATATAGCGAGGAATCGCAGCCGTGGTACAAGACATTTTGCTGGGGCCTTCGGCGCCGTTGTGTCGGAGGGTCGTGGCTGCTTCATACATTCCAGAGCGGCGCAGCCGCTATACAGTGCTCACAGAGCGGCGCAGCCGCTATAAAAAATGCGCAGAACCCCGCTGCCGGCTGAAAGTGCGCTGCCGCCACGCACAGTGTGATCACAAAGCGGCACATGCACGTGGTCGACTCGCGCGCAGTTGTTTTACACGTGCACTTTTACAACGTCCGTGCGCGCGTGTGTATTTGGCCTGAATGGATGCTCCTGACAAAATCTATTGCGTACCTTCTACGGACATGATTAAGGCGACGCCGGCGCACGGCACAGCTTTCCAGAAGATCAACAAAAACACATTTTGCGATCCGAGGCACTGCGACACTTTGGGGAGCAGCTTTTAAGCAGATCACGCGTGCTCACTTGTAAAAATCTACTCGGGAAAGCAACGGGAGACTTATTTGTGCCCCGAAAAGGCTCGGTTCCAAAATCGCACGTGCATCTTAAAAAGCTAATCCCTAACTAGTTTCCAATTTTTCGCACGAAGTTACTTAAGTGCTTTCTAAGTACCTAAGTAACTTATAAGTTTCCCTCGAACTTACCGTAGTTAGAATGTACTTGCCCCACTTATAAGTCACGTTATTGAACTTATAAGTGACGTTGCAAGTTACTTGTAAGTCACGCGGCCACCTTGCAGCTCGCCGCTCCCGTGCAACGGAACGGAGCTAGCCGGCCCTGCATGGACGTCGAGCCTGGCATAGCCCTCCGCGAAGCTGAGGAGAGGAAACGGCGGACAACCTACCCGGAGCTCGCCGCTGCTGGCCGGCTTGGCGCGTGGAAAAGCCGCTGCCGGCCCAGCCCAGCCAGCGCAAGGCTGCGGCCAGGGCGTTCGCAGGCCGCTGGGGCCAACTGCCCGCGATCGCAGCCCAAGGCGCGCATTTGGCGCAGCCTGCTCGAGCTCCCCCCCGGCCCGGCGGCGACGCATAGGCTTCTGTAGCTGGTTCGTTCGTGTCACCTTCCGGCAGTCGTAAAACAGGCGATTGAGGAAAACAAGTCACCAACCGCCACAATAGATATGTGTCTGTGATTAAGGCTGACGACACATTACCCCTTGACGACGCATCGACGCATTGTGACGACACATTTGTTGTTTCGCGAGAGGTGCAGGATTTCCAACCTGATCAGCTGGCTAATGCCTGAACCCTCCAAAAGTACTGAAATTTCCGTACATGCAGAAAAAAAGTGTCAATGTACACTTTTGAGGAAATTTGACGGAAATCGCTTTTAGCAGGCTGTGAGCGTTTGTGGTGCACTTGGATGCACATGAACCCAGTTTGCAATTTACACGGCCCGTCATACTTAATTCCGTTTCAGGTCTTTCGTCTCCAATTGCTGTGGGGCAATGTGTGACAGCTTCCTTGCCGCTTTTGCGAGTTTGCAGTTTTCTCAGCCAAAATGCAACCGCAAATGCACGGAAATCGGCGGGAAATGCACGGAAATCGGCGGGAAAAGTACGGAAATCTGCGGAAAATGCACGGAAATCAGCGGAACATTTTCTTGAGGAAATGGGCACCTTTTGTCCTTGGTGAATTGCACACCTTCAAATGGTATGAGCATGACAATCTCCAGTGCCATGGCCGGAGCTGAAAGTGAGATTCTTGTAGAAAAAAGGTAGCAAAATGCTCCTGTGTCTTATGTTGAGCCTGCAAGAAAAGTACAGTTTTTGCTCAAATGTATGGATTTCAAGGAAATGCACGGATTTTTGCACAGAGTCGCAAAAAAAGTGCCCTTGGTTGGTCCAGGTGTTAACCAGGGTATAAACGTTCAGCGTCTTGGCTTAGTTGGGTTATAAGGCTGCCAAACTCCCTGGCAAACGAGATAAGTCGGTCAAACCTATATAAGCAAACCCCAAGTGGGGGGATGGATCCCGATGTCCAAAGCGGGGGGTCCCGTTGCAAACCAACCCCAAGCCAAACACTCAGCAAACATGGTCGCAGCCCTTATAAGGTTTAGCGAGGTTAGCTTTTGGGATCTGTTTTCGGGCGCCCGCGCATGCCGAGTATGATGTTGCGGACGCAAGTGCTCAGATGTGATCTCAGATTCAGATTTTCAGATTTTTTCAGAATCTGAATTTTGCAGATGTTTTCAGATTCAGATTGTGTTTTTTTGATTTTTTCTCAGATTTTTCGGATTCTGAAAATCTGAATCTTCATCACTTTCTTTACTTAAATTTTCAATTTCAGATTTTTCAGATTTTTTCAGATTCTGACAAAATCTGCAAAAATCTGAATCTGAAGAATTCTGCAAAATTCAGATCCTGAAAAAAACTCAAAAATGCATCTGATATCAAATCTGAAAAGTTCAGATTCTGAAAAATCTGAAAAATATGAATCTAACAAACAATGTCAAAACAAATGGGCGCTCTGATCCGAGCTGTGGAACCGCGCGGACTGCCCGCTGCGGCTTTGTTTGATGTCTCGCTTGCGGCAGGAAAACGCATTGTTGCACCAATTGCACACAGGTGCTGGAATTTGAAGGAAAAACCTTAACAGGCTTAGCTGGTTTAGCTAAACTTTAGCCAAACCCTTGCACAAACCACCTCCTAAACCACATTTTGTAACCCTTATAAACCCGCTGCTAACTCTTATAGTGATTTAGAAGAGATATCTAAACCCCCCCAACCGGCTAAGTTCGGCTCCTGCACGAAGGGCTCACAGCCGAAGCCGCAGCACAAGTCGCAGCACAGTGCGCTGCAGGAGGCGTGATGTACCAGAATCTGGCAATGCATCTTGCCACAAAAGAATGTTGGACAAACTGCCAAGATCCAAGCCGCCGCGCGCGCAGCTCACTCGCTCCCTCCCTCACTCATTCTCTCACTCACGCACGCACGCACGCACGCACGCACTCACTCACTCACTCACTCACTCACTCACTCACTCACTCGCTCCCTCCCTCACTCACTCCCTCACTCACTCACTCCACTCACTCCACTCACTCCACTCACTCCACTCACTCCACTCACTCCACTCACTCCACTCACTCCACTCACTCCACTCACTCCACTCACTCCACTCACTCCACTCACTCCACTCATT